TGATGCTTGTGTTAAAGGCTGGATGTCCCTCCTTCACGATAACGAAAAATGGCTGTGCAAAAGTTGTAAAGTGTTGCTACACTGAGCATTCGGCTATCTTCATAGGGGGAGGGAGTGCTAACTTCACATACTCTCATCTGACCAGGGAGGATCCTACGTCGAAGTGACTTATAGCGCTAGACACGTTCTCCCACCTAAGCAAAGCACAGCGTGTGCGACCACAGTCGTGCGGACTGGTCCTGTAAACCGTATCTGACGCGCTGTCGCGTGCCACCCTTCACCTATTTTCACATTGCACCATCAATTGAAGGCCTTCGTTCTACCCAGATCGCCGTTTTCAAAGGTTTTTACTATCAAGTTCCCATCTCCTCTTTTGGTTCAGCTTTGCCCTCTGAGGAATTAGCCTGTTGCGTCGCAACTGCACAATTGTAAATAAATGAGCTTCAACCTTAAGCTTTATCTAAATAGCTCCAGATGTAACGAATAGTTAGGTCCGAGTGGAAGGCTTTGTCTAGAGCATCCACAACACTACATATGTAGATTCAGAGCACATCAGCGTCAAGAACTCCTCTACGAGGTGCGGGGAATATGCTATCATATTCCCCGCATGGTCGCGCTGTACTTTTTTGGGTGGAGGAGCTGGAAGGGGGGAGGGTGGAGTGAGGCCGGAGGGAAGAAGAGTCCTACATAGCCCTGGTGAGATGTTCGCTATAGGCCAGCCTTGGGCCTTTTGCGTCTAAACTCAGCTATTTCTGATGTTGGAGCAGTAGCCTTCCCTATCATCATCCCGCTCACGATGGATGTTTATAAGGGGGTGATATTCTAAAAACCTGTGCTCATAGGAGTTGATTGACCGTGATTGGGTCCCCTAACTGGTACATGTAAATCGCATGCAGAAAACGTTAATGAACTTAGTTAGGCTGAAATCCTTTCATGAAAAATGCTTTTTGTGAGGAAATGAGATTCAAACATTTTCAGAAAGATGGTAAAAGATTGCGTGGATGGTGACAAGAGCTGCTATTATACAACATGCCCGAACAGGCAGATGCTCAGCCGATGGACCGTCCAAACTAAAAAGACTCTGGAAATACGTGGAAACTTATGCCATTGCTAAAGAGCGATTCGCATGTGCACTTCGCATTGCACATTCACATTGCATTTGTATTAACAGTCGCCGTTTTTAAAATGAACTTTACAATTTGATCTGAGAAACACCGAAAACCGTTAACGGCACCAGCTCGCAGCCACACAGAGCTCTGGGAAATCGCGTAATAACAGACATATGACTAAAGGGGCACGTCTCCCGTAGCTGGATGAATCCTTTATTAGGGGGGGGGGACGGAAGGACGGGCATATTGAACGGGTATTTACGGACGAAGACAGGTGAATATGCTTCATCTTTCGGCCTTGGAGACGGGTGCTCACGTGCTCTGTTGTGAACGTGGCGACATTAGATGTCGGTTCAAGCCAAAAAGTAGGCAGCGTGTGCATAGGAGAGCGCAAGTTGCTCAAAAAAGAAGAATATTTTTAAGCTCTTCTTTGACTGGCAACTAAACCAGAAGAGCGGCCGCCACCGCGCTTAGGCTGCGTTTATACTTTGCGGCAGCGTAGCGTAGCGCTTCCAGCGTACGCCAGCGGCAGTGCCGAAGAGAGGATGCATATCGATCTAGCTTCACCAGCCGTACACCAGCGGCACGCGCTGGCGCGTAGCGAAGCACGGGTAGGGGTATGTGACAAGAGGATCGTAATTTGCCGCGCTGCTGGGCGTCGCGTGCGACGTCTCGCCCGCAAAGGACGATGGTTTCAGGCAGTAGATGGCGACAACATGCAATTAAGGACCGAAACAGTAATGAATGTTACGAACGACGGGTGTCTACAATGAAAAGTCCGGTGTGCTCATTGACAGTTAAAACGCCAGCTTATGAAAACGCCGCGCGCGCATCGCGCGCGTTGGGGACTGTGTCGGCGACATTAGGATCCTCTTGTAACCGTCTCCCCACGGGAAGCATAGCTATCGATCTAGCTTCACCAGCGTTTCTCCAGCGTTTTCCCAGCGCTTCCAGCGGCGGGGCTAGAGAGGGGCTAGAGAGCACTGGACGGAGGAGAGTACAAAGTACTCTCCTCCGTTCAGTGCTCTCTAGCCCCGCTAGCGCTTGCAGCGACGGGGCTAGAGAGGGGCTGAAACGCCTAAGGCTGCGTTTACACTTCACGATGACGCGTGTCGTGCTGCCGTTGTAATAGCGCTGCAGTTCGATTTATGGTAATGTAGACGCAGACAGGTGCCGATTGAACACTAGCACCGACCGCTAGTGTTTTCGGAGAGTGTGGGAGGATAGGGGACTGCGCACTAATGTATTGGAGAGTATAGGAAAATGATACAACGCCAGACTGCGGGCCCCGTTTCGGGGAAAACTGTAGAATAGGAGTGACAGAACATAGTCTACAACCTCCTTTTCTGTGCCAATCCCAGTTGCTGGCGGCTGGCGCTTACTGATACCCGTGTCAATGGCTGCTTTCCTGTCTATAGCGCTGGAGTGCTATTGCTACAGTAGTGCGTCGGCACACGTTACCTCGACATCTGAACACAGTATCACCCCTATGCCTTTATCAGGGTACAGCATCGTTATGTGAAACACATAGGAGTGTTGTACTTTTTTTCTAGGGAGGGTGGGGTCGTATTTGGTCGTTGGGAGAGGGGGGGTCGTATGTGCCTTTGAGAGAAATTTGTCGCGTTGGTTTTCCGGTTGCTGACTTTTTGCGTGATTTTTCCTGTTTCATGTGCACTATATATCCCCCCCGCCTTCCCGGGGAACTCAGAAAAAGTGGTAGGAAGTTGAGAAAATTCTTCCGTTTTACACTGCTATATACCCCCCTTCCCGGTCGACGGAAAATTTTTGGGTGAAAAACTCGACTGGAAAATGTGGGAGATTGGTGGGTAGGTGTTGGGGAAGGGGGAGGGAGTCGTACCAATCATTTAGGCGGAGGCGGAGGAGGGAAAAACTCACCCATGCGCGTATGCGGCGCGGTTTCTTCACGGCGCCGCGGCGGCAGGGCGGAGCGAAAGGCGATGGCCCGCGTCTCCGGCGCTGTGCTCCAATCCAGCAGCCTCTTTTATGTGGAAGGAAGAGGAGGGAAAAGTAGAGAGAGGAAGGGAATTGAACAGATAGTGGGATGCATATGTGAGTTAGTGGTAGTGGTAGGAGATCACAGAAAAGTCGACTATCACGAATTACTTCAGTGAATGGCAGAACTGGCGGCATAGTTCCCTTCGATTGTGAAAACGACGCAAGCAGCTTTTACACGAAAGTTCAAGCTGAGGTTTGGCAAATTGCCAACAGTTGGTTGTGACCTTATAACGCTATAACGTCACGTCCCATTCGAAGGGAATCATTCTGCCAGTTCCGCTGTTGACTGAAATAATACGCTCTGATTCTCGACTTTTATTCTCTGCTCACCATTACCACTAACTCACCTATGAGCGTTCACTATTTGTTCAATCCTCTTTTCTCTCCTCCTCCTTCCACATAATGGGGCATAAAAGGGGCTTCTGATTGAAGCACAGTGGCGGAGGCGCAAGCGATCACCCTTCGCCCGCCCGTCGCCGCGTGCCGTGAAGAAACCGCGCCGCATACGCGCACGGGTGAGTTTGTACACCGAGCCGGGACGGGGAGGATGTCGTACCCACACCATCACCTCACATATCATGATGCTGTACCCTGGCCCTCCTTGGCCCTACAATACTAGGCTAACAGATCAACTGAATAAATCCCTAGAGCTCAAATCTACTGTTCCTGAAATTATTGGCCAACCTTCTAGTATATTGCTCATTCGTCCCTTGCGGAAAACATTTCCTTGCAACCTCAACAATGCGAAAACTGTTCCACACCGGATCCTGAGCAAGGTTTATCTCCGATTCTGACCTGCTGTCTTGCCTTCTTCATCAAATTATGAGGAACAATCAACGAACATTTGCGTGTGCCATCAAAACGTTACCACTTGTAATTTAAATATTTATAAATTCAAACCATTAAAAGAATCGAAATCACAAGGTAAGCTTGGTATGCCTGTATTCTCTTAGACGGGGAGATTAACTGCGTAAGGGGTAGAGATGAAAGTATGAAATTTAAGGGATGGTGAACAATTCTAAACACAAGCGAACCTCGGTCAATTGGACCTCAGCGATCTACATCACCGAGGAAATATTTAATATTAAACAAGATCTTAAAAGGCCACGAAAAAAAGGAAATAATCACCGGGGTCAGCATGAGAGCACTGGGGTGTCATGAATCGAAAAACAGACCTATCACTGATGGGCACCTTTCACAACATAGGTGCATGGTCTGCAACTTCGAATCTGGTAAAAACCGTTGTTCTCATACTGTCTATCTGGTAAAAGCACAGTTGACACGTAATCGTAGAAATTTCGTATGCCACATCAAATATAATAATGTAAATAAACGACAAATGACGCGAAAAACAACGGGTAAAGAAAGTCGCGAACTGTGAAAGCATAGGAGGGAAACTAGTCGAGCACTGCTGCTCCGTCGTCCACCGTTCCATGACGAAAAGAGCGAAACTGTTGACGTGTATGCTCTTTGTCCTTGCCAAAACGCAACTGCTGGCTGTAGTGAGTGCGACTCACCACAACGACAAACGACGACAACTTCTCTAATGAGCATACAACTGTCAGTTTAAAAGGAACAACGTGGTCGCTCCAGGATTCAACGACACTATTCCTCCATTTCTTCTTCGACATTTGCATCAGGTAAAGAAACATCCGTCGTAATCTCTTGACGTCGATAGACAAGCATGTACGGTGTACGACCAACAGTTGGATCAGATGGAGCAGCAGTTTCAGAGACGCATGAATCATTGAATTCATACCTTGAAAAAAATAACGACTGACAACAAAATTTAAGGAAAACTCGAAGGGCAAAACGATTGTTCGCCTACCATTTCCCGGTGGTTTTATTCAGAGCAGACGCAGTGTAATGTCCACCTCCTAAACCACCAACATGATGACTGATAGCTATCAAGTCATACTTTACGTGCTCGTGCCTTTCATTCGCTAATTTTGAGTTCAATTCGAATCCTCTGAAATAGGCTTAATGAGAATAAAAAAGAAAATTACATTTTATTGAGGAAAGACTGGATACTGACTTTACGGGTATAACAACAGGGATATCGATTTTGTCGCGATGCCACTTGCTGTACTGGAACCGCTTCAAATGAATAATGAGGATCTGAAAATACACATCTGAAGCCGAGTGGCGCGATAATTAGACAAGGCGTATAGGATAAATACGCCTAATACAAAAGAATATTGTGCCATGTGGCTGCGTTCATACTTTGCGGCAGGGCCCAACAGCGTCCACCGGCAAACGGCAGCGTTTCGAGCGAACGCCAGCGCAGACTACGAGGAAGATGTAGGTATCGACTTAGCGAACGCCACCGTTCACCAGCTTTGCAAGCGTACAGCAACGTCTAGAAGTAGGGAGTACAGGGAAGAAGGAGGGTAGCAACGGTGCATTAGGTGCCGTGAAGTTGCGGCATGTGCAACCGAACCGTAACTGTACGCAGAATTACACAGCCTTGTGTACGTACAATGCAGTTTTACGGTGTCATGCCGTTCACGAAGTCTAATCCATGTGTGAGTCACCCACTTAGTACTCTCCGTTCCTGGACGCCTCTGTACGCTGACAAACGCAAGTGGACGATGGCATACGGCTCAAGACGCTGGCGAAGTCGTGGACGCTGCTGCAAAGTATAAACATACTCTGAGGAGACTCTGCGTGGCGCTTTTTCCAAGGGCATCGTCATAGCGCCTAACCACGGTGCGACATGCGAACGCAGACGCTTATCACAAACGCGCGCTCACAAATGGTCGCAGCCATGTCAGTGGTTATACTCTTATCGCTTCATTTACGATATACAACTGATATGTATGCACATGAATATGACTAACTTCTTGCAGTATACATACATACAACCAGACACATCTACGGGAGCGATTATTGGCACGATGCTAGCGGGAAACTCGTCCAAAAATGCTGTCTGTCATCTGCATGTTCGTCTGATGCGAAGGAACAAACGCTGGTGGTTTTTGATTTACTTCACTTTTCTACCGTTCACGCACAACACAGCACCTCTGCCACGACGTTGCCCCGATTACCAAATTATCGTGTCCTGTGCCTTCGACCGAATAAAAAAGTTTCGATGGTGCTGCGACCTTCACTACTCAGATCTATCCGTCAGAGCATCTCAGGCTCCAAGGGAGCTCATAATCAACAACTAGCATTAGATCCACTTGTTCCTGTTTCTGCTGTTTTGAAAACACCGAGATGCCTCTTCAACCGAAAAGAAGAGCGCTGCTTATAGTTCCGTAAATTCCCCATTTTATCATCACAACTAAGAGATTCACTCTCGAGCAAGTAGGGTGCGGCAGAATACATCTCAAAATAAGAGGTGTTCCGCAGTGCTGAAGGGGATCCAGAGCAGCTTTGATGTTGTGCGTTGTGCAGCAGCTCCTCACCCTACACTTCGTCGTTAGCTCATGCAGCGACAACGCCGTTCTTCATCCCTAATCAATTCATCTAATCTGAAAGAAAAAAGCACGTCATTATTTGCTCCCTTTTTCCGCGTTCTACCCTCGAAGAAGTACGTGTATCACCAATAACTATGTAAAAAAAACTGGTAACGGTAGGAAAAACGATTTATAGCTATGATCAAGCAGGAAAGCTGACGGGGCTCTTTCCCTTTTAATTAGTTGACTTGCTACGCCAAATTCAGTGTAGAATAAAATCGCTTCACTCCGCTCAAAATGCAATCAGCAATCGGACAGCTTGTGCGTAAAGACAGCTGCCGTGCTCAACCGATTTATAGGCGTCCTTCCTTGTACAAGTAGTCTGGCCCTGAGCCTCTAAGACTGTCCCGCTTTCGCGGCTTTACGGTAAGCAGCGAAGGCGCTCCGGCCCTCATAAATGGCAGTTCTGACGCCTTTCTAATTGCCTCGCCCACGAGAACTCGAAGGGTATTTCCTGTTACGAGTTCAGTTTCTACATATTAATTTCGTTTTTTTTTTCATTTCAGGTTTTGCTAGCACTGGACGACGCGAAGAAACAACTAGTTACCCAGAGGCGGCAGGATGTCGCTTTGCTGGCATAAAAGGAGTAGGTCTGGACAGTCCGTTCAAAGAGGCTGTCAGGTTCCTACTAGGATGTTCTGATTTTAATTCCTTTTTCTCGCCACGAAACTCACTTAGCGACTACAGTTTTTTGCTTAAACGCGATTTCCCCCAATATGCAACCGCAGGCTTTGCTTTCAAGCCCGGGTTCGAGGACATGTATCATGTATGGACGGACATGTAATCCCACACCTGAAACACAATCAAAAGATTGCTTCTGCTGACCCGCTTCTTTCATGCCCTTGCTGCAAACCCTCGTTTACTACGACCTATGAGGTAATCCTTCCTCCTTCTTACCCTCTCAGCCCACCTTCGATTCAGAATGTTCAACATGATAGGGCGCCAATTCAGTTTTTGCAGCATGTGCAAAACACTGCCACTATGTTCACAGAATCCCATCACCTCTTTCAAACAACTTAGCAGCTTACCTTCGAGACCTCAACAACCTAAATACTTGTCAATGACACGTTCGTTTTTGATCAGTAAAGTAGAAATGAGCGAAAACAAACCTGTGGTAAATTCCACAAATCCAATTTCTTTGTAGCCCTTTCATGCTTCTTACATTTCGGGCAGTACCTGGAAAGTCGATATTAACTTCCATTGAAGTAAATATTTCCGTGAACACATGAGGGAATGAGCTTCAGCGATCGCATTCAACAGTGTATGAGAGGGATAATCCTTTTCGCTAATAGGAGATGACCGTCTCAGCTTTTAACATTGCGCACACCCACGGAGATGAAGAGGGCGTTGCTGGGTACTTCATTCTAACATGGTGTAGGATGCTCTTCTCGTACGGTATTTCCCTTTGAAATAGTTGTCACTAAGTCTTATTCTATACAAAGACACGGTAGTAATTCTCCCAGGAAAAATCCTCCAGAAGCGTAGCGTACACAGTCACGCCCTCTCAATTTCCGAAATACTGACTGCACATTTAGGAGGCCATGTCGCGGAACCACAGAAGTGCCCAGAGAGGTACTAGATCACCATTTATCAGAACATTGAACGTAATCAGATCTCAACTACTGCCTTTGAAGATATGTTTGAAATACCCACAACAGCTGAGTTCGCCGTCTCTAAACGCAAACCGGGACATCGGCCGCGCCTTCGAGCCATCGATAGCGCCCGCGTGCGATTGCGTAGCGCGGCTGAATAGATCGCGTTCCAGTGCTAAAATCGCTGGACCGATGCTAATTCACAGCTATTCGCGGTCGCGTCAACTCTTACAACGTCCGTGCGGCACGTATTGCGCGCGGCGCTTCTGGTATTTTGCCGCCTTTGGTGATCTTTTGATGCTGATGATGCTTTCCATAGCGATTACAGCGCAAACCTTGCGCCGCTGGACTTGAGTTTGGGATCAGTTAGTTTGTTTTAGAGTTGCAAGCGCGGTTCCAATGGAGGATGTGAACAGAAGAGCAGAAGCTTTCTTGAGGTCCATAATCTTTGCGAGCGATGAGAAGGACGTGAACTGAAGAGCAATAACCCTTTCTTGGTTTGCATAATCTCCGAACGCGATTTCATTAAGAAGGACGAGGTAGCATTTGTAGGTAATAACCGGTAACGGTAACATATGAACGTCATGTAGCAAAAGCATCATGTTGCAACGCGAGAACATATCTGGGCAGTGCTCAATCATTACTACCCGAAGAGCTCAAGAAAATCGCTGGCACTCGGCCCATGCGAGTAATTCGATGCCCAGGATCAAGATGATGACCAAGTGTATCACTATGGTTTCTATGAATGAGGCCAGGTTCTCGCCAACACCTTTCTAATCAAAATCGGTTCTAATTTGCATTAGGGGCAATTCAGTACCCTGATCATTTACTTTCAACCCTGGCCATATTAGGCTCCACACCCTTTTTCACCAAAATCGATGGAAACTGCACAATGTTGTTTGATGCCCTGGTCACGAAAATGGCATTCATTCTTCAATTGAGCGCTCTGTTAAGGCTGAGCCTAGAAGAATGAGTGATTCCTCAAGGCCAGGCTTAGCGTCTACTGAGCGTAGATGACCGTAGTATCTTAATCCTACATTGAAGACAGCCCCGCGCTCAAGTAGTACATGGTCGTCCTTCCTTGTGCAAGTAGTACAGCCCCAAGCTAGAGACTGTCCCACTCTCGCGACTCCACAGCGAGCGAGGAGCGAGCTACAGCCGCTGAAAGTTCTAGTTCTAACGCCCGCCCAGTTGGACCGCCCACTTGCTAGATGCCCTCTGACGGAGAGGCCGCTCAGTTGTTCTTTGTTGGGGCGGCGGGCATTAATCGGAACTGCATGCCCTTTTTGCTGACCGCGCTCGTGCCCATGAATGATTCTGCTCTCCTTTATTACATTTTATTCATTAGGAGCACATACAGTCAACTCCAACCCATCTCGCAACGCGTAAAAACACGAGCAATCCAATTTTTGTGGTGCAAAAGCTTGACGCACTACACTACACTGAAAGATGCACGCTAACCCTAAATTTAGTTTTCGAAAGTTTCTTTTTCTTTTCAAGACTTTGTCTCCAATTTTGTTGGTTTTCGCATTCTTTTATTTGCATTGGATGATACTCACTACTGAGAGATGTGATAAAGGGATTTGTGAGCCAGGGGTTGCACAGAGACCGCAGGGAGGTGTGACTGCCAGGGAGCGATTTTGTTTAGTGTTCTTGAGGACTCTTCTTGCTTTTTTCTTCTTTGGGGAATTACTTATCAGCTACTGTTTCATAATTGAGAAGCAAGCTATCCATGACACTATCGCGGAAGCTGTTTTTAACTGAGGAATATATGCCATGTTCCTTATCAATTTTAATGACTGAGGCTCTTCTGGCGCCGGCGCCTATGGCGCGAGCGCTGAGCAACTTCTGGCCAAGCGGGTGCTATATTCGTGTTTAGGAGGTCAAAGTACCTCTGGAAACAAGGTTTTCAGCCTTCTTTAGAAAGATTGATAGAAAAACTGGTCTGATGTCGGAACAGTGGGGGTAGTAACACTTGAATAGTGCCCACAACCGAAAGATCATTGAGTCAGGAAAGCAGACCAACTGCTCCTCATTTCACATCCTCCTCGTTGAAATCGCGCTTGTAGTATGGCACCCTAGGACGGGCTAACTGCTCTTCAGTTTACGTCCTTCTCAACGCTCGCAAACAGTATGGAACTCAACAAAGGTGCTGCTGCTTAGTGCACGTTCTCCTAGTTGGAATCACGCATGCAAAGGCTATGGCTCAGAGAACAGAGTAACTCATCTCCAACTCAAGTCCAAGTCCGTCCAACGGAGCGAGGTTTGCGCTGTAATCGCTGTAGAAAGCGCGGATGACCAAAGAGGGCAATATGACAGAAGCGCCGCGTGCAACATGTGCCGGGTAGTAAGAGAGGACGCGACCGCGAATAGCTGTGAATTAGCATAGGTCCAGTCGATTTTAACACGTGAGCGCAATCTAATCAGTCGCGCCATGCAGTCGTACGCTTGCGCGAGCGACGCAATCAGCTCGCGCGAGCGATCGCTCAAACGCGCGGCCGAATAGCTGCCGTCGCGAAGTCCGAACGCTGCCATAGTGAGCACTTCTCACTATTACAAAATCATTATACCAGCCGGTTTGAACTGAACCACATTGCTCTTTTGAGGAGCAGCAACACAGCATTCCAAAGTATCACACCTGTAGGGCAGGGGTCAGCGAACAGAGCAAAAAAAACTCAGACGAAACGTGTGAGAAATAGATGTATTATCCATTCTAAGAATTTCTCCTGCTTCCTTGCTGATTCAGAGTTTCAAAGCTTAGTGGCAGATTCGCAGAGTATGGCTCGCTGCGGATGATAAGGCGTGTTCGCGCGACTTTGCACGCTGCATTCATTCTCCACCAGTCGTTCGTGCGGATAAGTAACAGTAATCTGTGAAATATGACTGATACGAACGATATGATACAGTGTTCTCGGCTGTCGAAAGAAAAGAAAAGTAAAAAAGGGTTGGCGCGCGATGAATTCAGCCGCATGGACATGCCCATCATCCGCTGCACCAGACCATATGCTATTCGCAAGCATGGATGTAAATCACATCTTACCAACTATCTTCTTCGCCCAGCTGCTCTTGTTTGGTGAAAAGATCAATGCATTCCATCAGGTGGATGTCCTTTCGAGATGATACAGAAACCTCCCGATCAATCAAATCCTGCAAAGGATACCATTCTGCATAGACATTCACTCAAACGTTAGCGCGACTTTGAGCCCTCATTTTCAGAAACTCGAAAACTTTCTGCAAAACTTGCGGATGTTCTCTCAAGAACCTTTCATATCAGAAAATTTACTCACAGCTCCTTTATATTGATTGAATAATTGAGGATCCTTCCACTGGAAAACCACTGTGTGCATAGGCAGGCCTCCCGGAAAAGGAACGGGTTCGTCGGGAGCTGTTGGGAATGGAACCGCATTGACACCATGCATTACGAACAGTTTGTACTGTTCTAAAACACAGTAATTAATATGATAACCATTGCCAAGGAATACTGCACCTCAATAACTTACCGCGCTCTTCTCCAAGTTTCGGATCATCTTCATACAAACAAAGTTCTAAAGGCGACTTCATGAACGTGTCTGAGATGAAAGGCAATATGCGATTGGCGAGAAAGCTGAAAGGGATTGGTTAAAACGTACCAAAAACGATTCAGAGTTGAAAAAAAGAAAAGAAAAAAAAATATGGAATTGGACAGCGTCCAGACTTTGCAATCGCGCGACTGGACCGCCCGACCGGATCGCACGACACTGCGCGACCACGACTGGGAGCGCTCCACCGCGAAACGGTGCACTGTCGCAACGGCACAATTCAAATTGGCTGTGTGAATGCCTCCCACTTTGAATTCTGCCGTCACTGGAGCGTTACTTTTCGATGGAGCGCCCCCTGTCGTGATCGCGAGATCTAGTCGCGCGGTGGCGGAGTTTGAACGCGGTCTTAAAGAAGCTATCAAAATGTTCATGTCACCTTCTTGTGAGGTAGTCAGGATTGGGAAGAGTAAATACCATTGGTAACGATAATGTCCGCCCTGTTTGTGTTTGATTTCTGAAAAAAACAGTTGTTTTTCCAAAAATTAATGAAATACGGTATTTTAATTGAAATGGCTCACTTTATAACAACTATTTTATGAGTATTAGGATTGTGATCAACTTGACATGCATATAATGATTGATTTTTATCTTCAATATAGATCGGTTCTGCAGGATCCAGTAACCGTACCTCGTCTGATAATTCTCCAAAACCAATAGAATATACAACAATCTGAAACGCGTGGACAGTAGCGTCTTTGTAACGGATTTAGATACAAAAAAGGTTACAAAAATGCCGGCATACCTCTCCCGTAAAATCATTCCCGATATTTTGCAAAGAATTTTTCATGGTATTGATTGCATCTTGTACAGTCGTCGAAGTCGCCATAGTTATGGTGAACTTAAAAAAATAACATTTCATTATAGGAATTCGGAAACCCACTACATGATGAGCGTAAGGGCCAGCTGTCATCGTAGCCTGTGTCCGCAACCAACAATGATGAGGCTTTTTAGATAATCGGAAGTGCGCAGGAAGCAGGTTGTCGGTTCCTCACTTCAGCACGCGGTCTCATCGCATTTATCGCACTCTCAAAAGCTACGCCTGGACGCTCGACTGTCAAATGTGAACAGTGTCCGATTTGGCTTGGAAATGACTTACTTAGAATGAAGGTAGTAAATATGTGTCACATTTAGACAGGTCAAAATTTTCCCGTCAGTTTGACTAACGCGTACTACTGCAATGATGATCAACTCTGAAAAGCACCGCCTAGTGCTTTTTAGAGCTAACTGGCACGATACATTCTACCGACGTCATATCTGTGCCAAATACTTGGTCTAACTTCCGATTTCGAAGTGATGACAGTCTTCCTATTTGCCTTTGTCAATAGCTAACTGCCCTATCAAGTGCTTATCACACTTCCAAAAGAGTGTATCAATTAGTGGAAATCCGGAAAGCTTTGCGGTTGTGAACGTTTTCTTGTTGAAAGTGAAAGCTTTCGTAGTTAAAGCAAAGCATTTTTCTCACAACCATTAGGTAATGGCCCTTATCCTCATTAAACATCCCTGAACCTATAATTTTTGCCGCAACTTCAAAGTCTAGCGCTCTACTCGCTTCTGATGCTGCTGCCACCGGAATGGAATGAAACAAGCTCATTCACTGGGCCTCTGCCCTTGGATACTTGAGCTATAGTGGTCACAGTTTAGTCGTGAGGACGATGACCGATAGGGTTCGTACGGTCACACCTTGCTTTACTCCTTCAAGAAGGGAGCGAGGAATGACCTTACGAATCCTGTCGGCCATTGTATTGCTTCCCCACTCATCATGAGTGTTCTCGTTCCTTGGAACCACGCTTTCACTGTAGCTGCGACACGCGTTATGAGTCTAGTGACGCCTCCCTTCACACTTCCCTAATCAGCTGTTATCACCTCCTGTCCCTCATCATTAATGTGCCCGTTACAGCCCCTATATAACTATTAGGTTGTCCGGAAAGTTCTCAGCGTTTTGTGTTACTATTTTTTGTACATTCATTGCTGATTAAAAACTCATTCTCCCTTGCGTCTCAGTAGTACATCCTGAAGAGAATTCTTTGCGCTATCTGATGGTATAATTGCCGTTTCACCATTGCTTGATTGACCCCCTTTTTCAAGAGTTTTTCAAGCATGTCAAAAGAGCAACTTCGGACGATATTGTTCTTCAACTACAAATTGGGTCAATCCGCAGTCGAGACAGCTCGACAAATTAACCAGGTGTGGGGCCCAATAGTGTTGGAGAAAGCACCGTGCGACAATGGTTCGACAAATTTCGTTCTGGAGATTTCAGCCTTGAAGATGAACCTCGTAGCGGTCGACCTAAAGCAATACCTGACGAGGATTTGAAGGCGTTTGTGGAGGCTGACCCATCCCAAACAGAGATTGCAGAAAAGCTAGGCGTTGGCAAATCCACTGTTGCGGATGGTCTGAAACGCATTGGGAAGGTGAAAAAACTCGACAAGTGGGTGCCCCACAATTTGAGTGACCGGCAGAAATTGGCACGTCTCGAGGTTTCTTCTTCACTGCTTTTGCGCAACAGAAACGACCCGTTTTTGGACCGAATTGTCACCTGTGATGAAAAGGAGATCATGTATGATAACAGGAGACGTTTCGGACAGTGGTTGGATGCCGGCGGACCCCTGAGGCAATTTCCAAAGCCGAATCCTCACGAAAAAAGGTTATGGTCACAGTGTGGCTGGTGTGATCCACTATAACTTTTTGTCACCAGGCCAAACCATCACAGCAGAGTCCTACTGTGAAGAAATCGACGAAATGTACCGAAAATTGCGTCAGCTGCAGCCAGCACTTGTCAACAGAAAGGGTCCGATTCTTTTGCATGACAACGCCCGCCCACACGTTTCACAAATCACTATCCATAAATTGAACGAATTGGGGTTGAAGTTCTACCTCACCCGCCATATTCTCCAGACCTTTCACCAACCGACTATCACCATTTTCAGAACTTCCTTGCTGGAAAATACTTCATCAATCAGGACCAGGCAAAAAAGCCTTCGTGGATTTCGGATTCTCGACCACCCAGTTTTTTTCCTTTGATGGGATTTATCGACTGGTGTCACATTGGCAAAAGTGTGCTGATTCGAACGGTGCTTATTTCGATTAAATCCGATGAGTATTAAGAAAGTTATGATCGTTTAAAGTGAAACACTCAAAACGCTGAGAACTTTCCGGACAACCTAATATATAACTTCCTGCAACCCCATTGTGATGGGCTGCGACACACGCTATGACTTCAGTGACCCTTCCCTTGATCCTCCTTTTCAGCTCTTGTCAGTTATTATCACCTCCCGTCATCCACCAATAATGTCCCCCTACCATCGCCTATACCGCTTATCAGTTTGGCCTCTCTACGACCAGACCTGAAGAAGTTATGATTTTTCGTTTGAACACGCACGCACGCACGCACGCACGCACGCAAGTAAGCACGCACGCACACTGCCGTAAAGCAGAGCAGTATCAGCTCCTTTGCGCAGCAGCGACTAGGTCACATTTGAGAAGTAGCAAATGCGCTGGTACGGGCCCAAAAGCGCAATCAGATCTGTGGAAAATCTTATGTTAATAACATACCTTCGCCCATCTCCGTTTCGTGTTGAAAATCAACGTGACAACTTGTCTGACTTTCTCCTTTGGTGGTAGGGGTACAGACAAGAAACAAAACGGATCGAATTTTATGCTGACCTAAAAATAATCAAACATTTAATATACTAAGGAACCTTTCGTAAGAAATGCATTTAGCAATTTTACCTTAGCACAGACGGGACAAACCAGAGTAGACTTGAGTTGTCCGTGAACGAGGTCAACGATGATACTATCATTTCGAGCCTTATAAGCTTGCCACGATTTTTCGGCTTGCTAAACGGTCACAATAGAACTCTCATTACGGGTGATCTATGAAGAACTCAATCTGAGTTGTTGTAGTGATATATAGAAAAGAGCTAACCGGTATAAATAAACATACCTCATGTTCCTCAAGTCTCTCCAATGTTTCATCGTCGGGAACGTACGGTTTCACTTTTATTCTATTCAAATCTTCATGCAAACCATCTAAGACATATGCCAAAAGTTCTTGTGAGTCTTGCTGCGCATAACCGCTGAATCTCGGAGCAAACTGTCCGATGGTCATCTAAAAAAATGGGCTTTAGAAGCCTGGAAAAAAGCAGAAAGATCAATATCTGCGAGGACGGAACTACCCAGCCATGGGCAGCGTTCATAGCATACGGTGACGTTGCCATAACCGACATAATTGACGTACACGGGGACTATGCTGCGGAGGTGCGTCGATGCTCAGTAACGCGCGTTGACGCGCTACAGGCATAGCCGCTCTCCAATGTACCGTACCCCAGCTCTCCTAACGTGCTTTTCTCGGATATGCGGCCCTTTCTTTTCATTGTTTTTTTTTCCTGATTCATTTCTAGAACTAGTCTTTCTAGACACTAGCAACTACTACTACCCCACTCTAGTCCCAGTCCGGCTGCTGTTCACCGCCTTCTTTTCCACGAGCGCCTGAATTATAAAATTCTCCGAGAACTATCCCCAGCGATCTCATGGTTAGCGACTTCGTGCAAAACAAATGCCATAATTGTGATCAGGACACCAAACGACCGCAGTACGCAAGGACATCGAATCTGCTGAGAAAAATGTTGGCGCCGAACTGGGGCCAAATGGCGCCAGCGCCAAAAACTATCGCGATATTCGTGATCGCGGCATGGGCAAAGTTTCTGCCAAAGAACACCGAGTTTTTGCGGTAGTAATAGTTGAATAGTGCCTATTTCCAGCTTCTCTTCTTAGCTTTGACATCCGACCTCAACGAGTTATTCGTATATGATATACCGTTATGTTGTTCCACCTTATATTGTACATTACACCTTATATTGTTCCCACTTACCCGATTACGAAATTGTTTTATTCCATTTCAGGCATGGGGTACACGAAAAAGGGGTGAATATCAAAAGAAAATAGGTGAAGAGAGGTTCGGGTACGGTAGCATTGGAGCGCGGTTGTAATTGCAGCGCGACGCTGTGAAGACTGAACGCTGCCTGACCGTCATTCAAGCAGCCATTTTTGAGTAAAACTAGCACCTCCGATATTTAGGGACTAGGCTTACACAAATACCTATGTTCGCGAGTAGCGTTTCGAAAAAGGAAACACAAGTACAAAGCAGAAACGTACTTTGACTTTCCGCGGGACAATGCTGCAATTCTCTCCAGACCACATGTTATGAAGAAGATCTCCATATGCGCGAGCTAACTCCCCTCGTGTACCGAGAGGATTTCTTTCATTTATATCAGCTACATATCTATTAGATAGAAAATATCCAGTCAACTCCGGAACATTCGATAAACACTGAAATCCATTGATTCTAGCAAGAAAAATAATATGAAATTCTACGGTTTCCAACCTGAAGTGCCGAAGCCATGAAACATGTATTGCCCAGATTCTGAAGACCACAGGCTCCTTTAACATAATTTCCAGCTCTATCACGTGCGGACTCGTAGAATCTGAAAAGATGAAACTAAAGAAATCCATAAAGTTTAAGAATTAACCAAGTTTTGGGACAATAAACACTCCAAAACATGCGATTAAACAGATGGAAAAGGGAGTTTGTGTAACGCGTACAACGAACAGGCTGTAGAAATGGTTTGCTGAGCTGGTCAAAAGAAAAAAAATAGTCCCTCACATCATTGTAAGACATTTTTTCCGTTTATGCAGAACCAGACTAGAGAACATAGCTGAGTATCAACAACGCCTAGCTGAGCAATCCTATGGCTGCGCTCATACTTTCCGTCAGCGTACGCCAGTGCCAGCGATTAGGAAAGTATAGATATCGATCTAGCGAACGCCAGCGTATGCCAGCGTACAGCAGCGTTTTCGCGGGCAGTTTTGCTCAAGCTCAAATTGCCCGCGAAAACGCTGGCATACGCTGACGTCGCTAGATCGATATCCATGCTTTCCTAGCCGCTACGGCGGTCTACGCTCAAAACGCGGCCGTGCGCTGAAGCAAAGCATGAACGCAGCCTATGGCACGAAAAACGTTTGGTAATAAAAATTTGGTAAAAGAAGTACATACAAAAAAGTGACCCAAAAATTACGCTAAGGTCCCCGAAATCCCGCAATCGTCACAGTCCCCATTTTCAACGACTGAGACAACTAGACCGGACGAATGAGACCGGTAAGATCTCATTCGAACGTGGATTGGTTTTCGAGAAGGTTTCGAAATACTACTTCCGAAAGAAAGTTTTTTTTCTGGCACTCTACCAAACCAAGTATGGCTCCTGATAAGTGTCCAATCAATAATGATTACATAAACCCTGAGGAATGCTGTTTCTACTGAAAACCACAGTAGGAAGACAGGCAGGGCAATGTTTAATCAAGCATCAAGCAAAAATTCAAAATCGTCAACTGATTTCGTGGTGCACATCTCACAGAAGGGAAGCAAATTTGAAAGCGCATTACACTTTGTTAACCCGCGGACCACATGCGAGAAAATTGTTAGTGAATTTACTATTGCAATAAAGCGAGAAAGGTAGGCACTAGGTCCGTGGGTTGGATTGAATGAGTAAAAGAATTGGCAAAATCAAATTGACATATACCACCCACGGACCTGATAGGAGCCCAATGAAGACGAACTATGTACGCAATGATGGCATAGAGCCAACGCCAATTCGTTAGGTATCGGTAGGTACGAAATAGCAAAGACCACCATGACAGCCTAAACTCGAAAGAGAGAAAACTTGTGTGAATTTGATGGAGAGTCAATGACTACCCCATGCAAAGATATCTACCCTTTTTTGTTTGAATTTTGCATTTATTCTCGGAATTCGGCAATGATCAACTAGTCTATGAAGGGAAAAAAGTTGCGGTTGTCTGAAGTCATGTAGATCGGGAAGCGAAGCTAAGGGTACCACCGTAATTCGCAAACTGCTGTATGCTGTTCATTGGGGGTATGTGACGGTAGGACAACGCGGCGTCGCGCGCAACAATTGCAAGTACCGTCTGTATACGATCGGCGCGCTCGCGATCGTTTTTTTATTGCGACCCCTTCGTATTTCAACAAAAAGACTATAGGTACAGTCTCTGAGTATAGCGTAGTGGAGACTTATGACTGTCAAATGGTTAGGAATCAACAGGTGAGATAAGTTAACTAGCGAGCAGAATAGCAGCTACGATGAGCAGCTACGGTGCAGGTTTCTCTACGCCACAACTGCCATGTAATCACTCTAGTTATGCAAATAAAACAAAATTTAACACTAATTCCCTCCCGTTGTAAGGCTACGGCATGAAGAGCCGTAAAGCTGACAGAGTGAAGGCTGAAAACCTAAGCAAGCTCAATCTTCAATAAAGAAATGAATTTATGCGAGCGTGCTTTCAATTGCAAGTACGAAGGGTATGCAGGCGCACGCGATGTCGCGTGGTGCTAAAGGTTATCTCCTTGCTGATTGCTGCCACTGGCCTGCCTTCGCTGTGCTGTAGTAGTCAGCGGATAGTGACTCCCTGACCCCAAAGGCGACCCATGTAAACATGGGCAAATGGTGAAACAGGTTGCCGCATACTACGAAAGGTGCTCTAGCCGCCTAAACGTTAGGCACTATTCAGTCTATACCGCGTTCAGACTTCGCGATCGCGCGACTAAATCACGAAACAACGACTGGGAACGCTCCACCGCCAAGCAGTGCACCGCCGCAACGGCACCATTCGAACTGGCGCTGTATGAACGTGGACCAATTTGATTTTGGCGTTACGGCGGGGCAGCGCTTGGCGGTGGAGCGACCTCGATCGTATTCGCGCGGTCCAATCTAGCGATGCGACCGTGCGATCGCGAAGTCCGAACGTGGTCTAAAGGTAACAGCGGCCAACACTACAATACACATCGTTAGTGAGAGCCCCTTTCGAGATGTGAGATGTGAACTTGAAATCACCTCCAAAGAGGCTTCACTAATCTCTAGCCAGCCCAACACTATCGCGGTGTTTGTACCAGATGAGCAGTGCATGGGGCCATTCAAATGGGAAGGCAAAAAAACCAAGGAGCAATCTCAGGTCTTTAACTTCCTTGCGAACCATTTTCATGTAAAAAAGAGTGGTACAGTTCTATAGCTATGGACCTCCTCACCTTTTACACGGGAACGATTCAGGTCTCGGATGATGGCAACATAAGTGTTCAACTGGAATCTTATGGGAACCACACAGATTAGACTGAGTGCATCGTGTTCGTGGCACCGTTATCTCATCAAACTACCCATTGCTGCCTTAATCTACCCTGTATACATTAAGGGTTTCCCCCTTTCCTCATCCTAAAAATTTCGTACATTCAGATATCATGAGACTCTGGAACAGTATAATACTTCAATATCTGGCAATTTCAGATCAATATCTAATTTCACCCACTGAGAGAGGAGCGACCTGCTATTTATCCGCTGATGGCTGAAAAGGGAGAAGCACTAGAAATGTACGAATTCTTGTTGTCCACGAAAGATTGCGTACGGAACACACCACTTTCAGCACAAGTCCTAATTTCGGAATCGTACGCGGTCCTATCAAAGGAATGGTTTCAACTTCCCATGGAACTTTGAATGGGGACCTAGGTACATCGACAGAGAATGCTGATTACGAATATGCAGATTAAAAGTGCTACGGGGACCTCCCAGACGAGATCTGGGTGGTCAAATTTGCGAAAACTCAGTTTTGGCTCGTAAGCGCTGCTGATCGATTGCTAGGCAGTGCCACCGTGGCCTAGTGGTAACGGTCTCGCTTCAAAGGCAAATGCTTGTGGGTTTGCATCCCGTTGGCGCGAAAGTTTTTGCTTCGTCTCCTATGAAAGCTTTTACTCTAATTTTCAAAATTCTTCCGAGTTTACGACCCAGCAGAGCAAGTAGATCAAGTAGATCAAGCATATGACGTACTCGATCGAGTATGGATTTGGTCACTATCTGCCCTCTCTGAACTCATTACCCATCCGACAATTCGAAGTTTCGGCCAGAAACTGATTCCTGAGGGTAATTTGACCCCTGCAAGAATATCACATTCGTTTGACGAGAAAACGCTTGTTTCACGTTGATGTGATCAACTGAACGAGGGAACCGATCGTTTTCACGTCAAACGGATGTGATATTCCGTGCTCAGGGGGTCAAAATACCCCCAGAAACGAGTTTCTGGCCAAATTGTGATTCTGGCCAAAACTTCGAATTGTCGAATGGTTAATGAGTTCAGAGAGGGCAGATAGTGACCAAATCCATACTCGATCGAGTACGTCATATGCTTGATCTACTTGATCTACTTGCTCTGCTGGGTCGTAAACTCGGAAAGAATTTCGAAAATTAGAGTAAAAGCTCTTATAGGAGACGAAGCAAAAACTTTCGCGCCAACGGGATGCAAACCCACAAGCATTTGCCTTTGAAGCGAGACCGTTACCACTAGGCCACGGTGGCACTGCCTAGCAATCGATCAGCAGCGCTTACGAGCCAAACTGAGTTTTCGCAAACTTTGACCGCCCAGATCTCGTCTGGGAGGTCCCCGTAGCACTTTTAATCTGCATATTCGTAATCAGCATTCGAGCTCTATCGATGTACCTAGGTCTCCATTCAAAGTTCCATGGGAAGTTCAAACCATTCCCTTGTAAGTGTGCGAAACACAAAAAATCCGGGCGGAATCATTGCCAATCCATCTGACCTTACTGCAGTTTTAAGTTCGCTGCGCACCATGTACACATCAGGCCCAGCATTTCTAAGAAGAAAGGCTGCGTTCATACTTAGCGTCAGCGTGTTTTCGAGCACGCAGTAGCGATTTGAGCGATTAGAAAATATAGATATTGACGGAGCGTTTAGAGCGCACGCCAGCGTCTTTAGCGACTGCCCGCGAAAAGCTCGGTCCACGGACAACTTGAACTTATTCCCCGCGTCGATCTTCTCTTTTTCTCTGCACTCTCTCGTCCGCATGGCACTCTATGGCCGTTGTGACTTCGCTCACTCCAGCTTTTCACCGACTATAAGTAGCTCACCCACCCCGGAGTCCCCTCCCCTTGAAAAATCCCGTTTCCTGGCTCGCCATACGTTTTTTGCACGTTTCGATGCTTTGGCAGCCGCTGCCCTCTATCCGTCTGCGTCACAGGGTTTCGTAACAGGACCATGCACAAAAGTTCAAGATGTCACGTAACCCGGAAGGCTCAAAAGCTGGCATACGCTTAAAATGTTAGATCGATACCTATACTTCCCTAACCTCTAAAACACCGACGCAAAGTATGAACGCACTCCAATGTTGGAGTAAAAGCGAAACTAGGAAATAATCCTGTGTTTGGCACCGTCATATGGTGGTCAGTGTATGAAGATTACCTTGCGCATCAAGCCCTAACTGAGGGAATTCGTTTTACAGGAGCTTTTCCATGGCTCTAGATTATGGAAGAAACCGGTATAGACGTACAGTACAAAATGGAAGTGACAACAAAGGACTGCAATCGCTCAGCTCGTAAGGTCCCGTGGTCATACGCCACCGCGGTCAATATCTACTAGGCCAAAAGTATTCCTAATCAATGGGACTGCAAATTCTCGTAAGAGGACGAAGTCACCTATAGGAGGCTAATGCCGTTTGGACTCCAGCAATTTCGGCACCGAGCTCATTTTTAAATTGCCTAAGTCACCAAACCCGCTGAAAATATGTACACAAGGGTTATTTACCATCGTGATTACAATTATGACACTCATTCTTGGCGCTGGCGCCAAGGGATGACACTACGATTACCTCTTGGGCTCAGCCTTAGCGGAGCGCAGATAATCGTAGTGTCATCCATTAGCGCCAGCGGCAAGAGTGAATGTCATATTCGTAATCAGGATGTTACCCCTATATACAAGTTTTTAGCGGATTTGGTGACTTAGGCAATTTAAAAATGAGCTCGGTGCCGAAATTGCTGGAGTCCAAACGGCATTAGCCCCTATCGGTGTGGCTGTATTGGAGCATTTCCATTTGAGTTCCAATAAGGACCTCTCTAGCCAGCCAAGTACGTACTTGTTGTAACTCGTCGTATTGTTGATCTCGACTTAAGCCGATACAAGCCCAGATTGCCTGCACGGAAGTGTATACACACCAATAGGCCTATTAAAAGAGCTCAATCAGGCAGTATCGGTCGTTAGTGGGCTTTCCAATTCTATAATTGAGCGGTTTTCCTGATCAATATGTATTCGCCTTTTCGCAGATCCTGCGAATCTCTGACTCGCTTAGTATAAACACGACCTATTTTCTCCACATAAAATGGTTCCACTATGCTCTACTTCTACGCGCCACTTCAAACGTGCTGTACCAGTCGCAGCTTCCCGATTATCTACTCCGCGTTCATAAGCAACGCCCTGAGGAGTAGAAAAATGACAAAGCCATGCTTTTTTGCGCATCCATTCAGAAAATCGGAGAATTGACGAAGAAGGCTAGGCAGGAGAAGCCGAACCTTCCGAGCATGTTGAAAAATTCGGGGAACTGCATGTTCAGAGAAATCGTGGAATTGGGGAAATCCTCCAGAACAACCGAATACAAATCAGTTTCGTCGACTGACCCGACAGCAGAAATTCTTCAGTAGGGCGGAGTTGACGAAAAGGATTTGTATCTAGCTGACTGCTACTCTCCCAGTTCCCAAACTCTCCACTCCTGGACGCTGGTGAACGCTGACGCTATGTATGAACGAGACATAGCGTCAGCATTCACCAGCATTTGACAAGTGGGCGGGCTCGTATGCAGCCTTTTTCGCAGATCCTCCTCAGGTTGCGTTCATACTTTGCATCACGGAGTCATGCAATTTTGATGTACGGTGTGCTGCAGTTGTCCTACTACTACTCCATACGCTCCTCCTGGTGAATGCTGACGCTGTGTATGAACGCAGACTAAATGTGCCACTCTAATGCTCGACGCTGTGTGTGCACAATGCCTGAACGGCCCTTTAACACTGTCGCGAATTGCTGACGCGGCGTCTACTTTGTTATATCGATGATTAGTTTTACCCACTCGTCACACATGCATACCATTAGGAATATTTGGTAAAAGAAAAACAAAGTAGGTATTGTAGACAGCAAACAAACAACAAAGGGTGAGCTATCGCATTCAAATAAAATCAATAAAAAAAACTTACGAATATGGAGACGCTGAATTTGACGGATAATCTGCTATTCTCGAATTGCCGGGTTTTTCGTTGTTTATGAACCACTTATCATCAGCATTGCAAACATCCACATAGACCTGGCGAGAGAATCGTTATAGTGAACAAAAATGTAACCACTAGTGAATCACGTACCTTCTGAGCCGTATCGAAATAGCTGTCAATATTTTGTTGTGAAATATCTATCAACTCGTACTTATCACCATGAGCAATATAAAAACGTAGTCTTTCTGGAGGGACGGAGGAAACTCCCAGCGACTTCAATGCACGGTCTCGCAAGTCCACTGAAGCATCATTACGTTATAGATGAAGGCATAAAGAAAACCGAGAGTGTGTTCATGCTTTGCGTCAGCGTTTTGAGCGTTTTAAGCGTCTACCATCGATTTGTGAGACTAGGAAAGCGTAGGTATCATGCAGCGTGCGGCAGCATTCCGAGCGACCAAGAAAGGGCACTATTGAACTATTCCTACCCAAACTCAAAAAAATTTTTCGCTGAAACGTTGCCTATAGATGTAATTCGATGCGCTGATCACGAATATCACATCCGTTTCGAGCGCTGGCGTCATTTGGCGCCATTATGCGCCAATTTGGCGCCCACCACTTTTTTCACCAAAGTTGATGAAAACTTGCATATGGGGGTTAATTGAGGTCCTGATTACGAATCCAACATTTATTTTGGCGCTGGCGCCATTTGGCGCCATTACGCGCCAATTTGGCGCCATATTGGCGCATAATGGCGCCAAATGGCGCCAGCGCTTGAAACCAGTGTGATATTCGTAATCAGGACCTCAATTAACCCCCATATGCAAGTTTTCATCAACTTTGGTGAAAAAAGTGGTGGGCGCCAAATTGGCGCATAATGGCGCCAAATGACGCCAGCGCTCGAAACGGATGTTATATTCGTGATCAAATTACATCTATAGGCCACGTTTCCAGCGAAATTTTTTTGAGTTTTTTGGGGTAAAAGTAGTTCAATAGTGCCCATGAAAGTATAGGCGTCAAATAGACCGCTTCAGACCGCGCGATCTGATCGCCCGATTCGATCGCGCGACCACGGCGGGGGCGCGACAGCAGAATCCAAACTAGACCGCGTGTACCCAGTGCCTATTTGAACTGTGCTGCTGCGGCGGTGCACTGTTTGGCGATGGAGCGCCTATCGTGGTCGCGCGACCCGATCGCGAAGTCTGAGCGCAACCTTTAGCCGCTGGCGGACGCTCAAAATGGAGGATCGATACCTTTAGTTCCTCAGTCGCTGGAAATGCTGGCGCACGCTCAAGACGCTGGTGGACGCTCCAAATGCAGAATCGGTACCTATACTTTGTTAGTCGCTCGTCGCAAAACGCTCAGAACGCTTAAAACGCTCAAAGCACTGACAGAAGCTCAAGACGCCATTGCAACGTATGAACGGACTCTAAGAAGAATAGAAAAATTGAAGAAATTCTCACATAACGTATCACTACCAGTTAGACGAAGCTCGCAAAATCTCGAAGCATCCCGCGCAAGGTAAACCTAGAGTTGTACGTTTTTGCCAACAGACTGCACAAAACAGCTAAAGTACATCACCAAACAATTTTCGTACCATAACCACGCGAGGATAAACTTCCACCACTGGTTTTCCATTTTTGGAAATAACTTTCCGACAAATGTAGTCACGGTCGACCAGTTCCAGACCATAAACCTCCTTTAAACGGTTGAAAACGGGTTCGGGAAGAAGGTGAAAATCGACTGATTCGGCCAGATTTGCTCGTAAAAAATATGCATCGCCGGCTGAAACATACTAACTGAAAGCGAATTCCACCTTCGGCAAAGAGCATTAGCACTGCCCCAACCAAACCAGATAATGACACATTAAAAAAAGTGAAGATTCATAAAAATGGGGGTGCTTATGTGGTAAACCCGGGAATTCGGTTCTACCTGAAGAGCAGCTTGGAGAGGCCGGGTTAAGGTTGGGATAGGTAGGGCCGGGACAAGATGTAAAAAGCACATGACCTATGCGAAGCCCCGCCCAAATGGGCGAGGCACGCGCTGGAAAGTAGCGGTGTTGCGGGTGAAAACTCACAGTTTTATTCCAGAGCAGTGCAGAGATGAGGAAACAGTGGATTAACCTTAATAATGGATTGTCAGACTCATTTGGGGTAGGCACTCGAAATAAGTGGGGCGTACTCGAAATTTGCAGTGCTTGCCCGAAATCCAGTGAGAAAATGCTCTGCCAGTTTCTACGCGTTGCCGCAACGAGGAAACCACAAAGAACTGAATAGCGTTTCGCAGCGATGATAGAAACCTTCGAAAGCGCATATGGTAAACCCGAGGCTCCAAGGAGAGTGCCCCCACCCTCAAGTGGGTGTGTCACTTACCACGTATATGTATAAAGTTGGAATGGACCGAATAAGTGCAGCAGCAGAACGGTAAGTGCACGTGCGGTTCAGAGGGCCAAGCTCGAGTGGCCCGCAGAGGGGCCCTAAGCTTACGTGGTCAGCATGGGATAGAACAGCATGAAAGATACTTTTATGCTGTTAAAACTCTAAGACCATATCCCTCTTCCGTTCAGAACAATGTTATTTCTGAAATGATTATGACCGCAGCAAAAGTGAAAATGTAAAATGGGATCACTATTTAACAAAATTTTTGCTATGTCGCAGTTTTCGTCACCATCCTACGACATATAATCGGTTAAGTGTGTGTGTGTGCGTGTGCGTGTGCGTGTGCGTGTGTGCGTGTGCGTGTGTCTGTGTGCGTGGCTGTGTGTGTGTATTGTGTGATTAAATTCATAGCGCCGGTTCCAACAACGATGCGACTTTGGTTCCAGGATATAATGAAGGGTATGGGACACGAACATTATTGGTGCGTGAAAGGAAGTGATAATGGATAGCTCTGGCAACGGGAATTATAGCTCAAGCGTCGCCTGATTCATAACGCGCGTCAGAGTAAGACAGCGTTCAGACTTCGCGATGGCAGCGCCTCGGTCGCGCGTTCAGCGCGATCGATGCGCATGCTTTCGACTGCATCGATCGCGTCGAACGCGCGACCGAAGCGCTGCCGTCGCGAAGTCTGAATGCTGCCTTAGGTAGGAAGCCTGTTCCAGTAGGTAAGGTGAGGGATATGACGGTACATTACTGATGGGGAATGAAAGGAATAACAACTGATAGGGGTTCATAAGGAGCGTTGCCGACTCGTCTTTCTTCAAGGTGGCCTAAAACCAAATCATGAAAGTGCCGTGATCAGCACAATGGTAATGGGCCACAGGTAATCACTTCAATGGATAAATTTAATGAGGATGGATAAGAGGTTATCTTCATTTCAGTTCTTACCATTATACAGTTGGATCATGGGTACTGCAGTTTCAGTGTGTAGTGAGCTCATTCCTTCATCAGGGCACTGGTCATCACTGGTTGGGGATTTTGGTCTAGTCTACACAACCCCTCCCCCTCCCAACAGCGAGCATATACGACCCCGCCCCTCCACAATGTCTCCGAAACAAGAAAAATCAACTGTTAAGAGAAATTTTCTCAGCCAAAATACGACCCCCCAGCTCTCCCGGCGACCAAATACGTTGTTCATCAACGGAGCAGACCGTTGTTGAGGATTCCCCCCCCTGCTGAGGAATCCCCAACAACGATGTGCCCTGTCCTTCACTGCATGTCGAGTGGAGAGGGGATAAACATATAGAGCGGGTGAAACGGGAAAACCAACGATCAAAAAAGTTGGTAGCTAAATACGTTTCCAAGCAATAATGATATATCTCAGCAGAGGTAGGTATGATTGAACTTCTACGATATTTTCACAACAAGGGCGTATTTCTATTGAGGCAAACTTCATTCGCGAACTAAATTTGGCCCTGTAGGATGTTAGGGCCTACTTATTTCTCGTCAACTGTTTACCATTTCTCCTTCGGTTTCAATGCACGATGCAACCGCAGTACTATTTTCATGGCGTGAACAAAGGAGTGCCGGATAAGCCGCCTTCAAAACTTGTACTTATGGCTGATTAGATCGCCACTGTGTTGATACGCATCCTAACTGCGGCCATGCTATCTCAGCAGAAGTTTTGAAAGCAGAAATGCGATATATACGGTACTACATTTACATGAAATTGAAGAGTTGTTAATTGCCGGAATATCCTCGACGAAGCCTTGCCTAGCAGCCTCTAGTACTTTTGTCCACCAGGCATTGCTAACAACGTACCTAAACAGAAAACTGCTTTCAAACTCTTCGAAGGGATAAAAAGAAAGGAAGAGTAAGCGGTTAGCTCAGTTCCCTTTCGAGCCTGGAAACGTGGTCCCATAAGGCTGCCTTCCTCATCTGATCGTTCACATGCAACTTTCCTCGGCATACCGATGTTCCACCCTAACAACGCTTATCATCCCTGAAACTCTAACGATTTTTGGTTCAGACTTCGCGATCGGATCGCTCGATTGGATCGCGCGACACTGCCGGGGGCGCTCCACCTAACGATGCACCGCCGCAACGGCAGAATTCAAATTTGACCGCGTTCAGAAAGTGCCAATTATCGTGTCGTGGCGGCCGAATGCACCGTTGGCGGTGAAGTACCCCTGGTCGGGGTCGCGCGATCCGACCTTGAAGTCTAATCACCCTAGAGCAAATAAAGCGAAATCTGCGGCTGTGATAATTCAGTCCGTCCCAGAATGAAGAAGTGCAAAGGCCAAGCTGAAGACGAGCACAATTCTAATTCAATAATGCAATGAGTTTATTGCGTTTCCCATAACGCTCCAACCCATAGAAGGCAGTTCTGACACCTTGGAAGGGACTAAGCTTTCGAAGAGATCCAACGGACACCAAACAATTCCTAGGCGAAACGGACGCTGTATTATATTCAACCTTGGAATTTTCTAAGAACTCGTTCGAACTTCGCGGTCGCTCGACACCACCGGGAGCGCTCCGTCGCCATACGGCGCGCCGCCGCAACGGCAGAGTTCAAACTGGGTCGCGTTCACACAGTGCCGACTTGAATTGTGCCGCTGCGGCGGTATAATTCAAGTTGGCGGTGGAGCGCCCCCGGTGGCGGCCGCGCGATCGCGATGTCTGAACGCGGCAGGGCACATCGTTGTTGGGGAGTCCCCAACAGGGGTCGTATTTGGCCGCCAGGAGAGGGGGGTCGTACTTACTTTCTGGCCTTTCTAGGAGTGGTGGTTGACTTTTCGTGATTTTGCTGCTGTTTCATGCTTACTATATACCCCCCTCCTCGCACAATTTTTGGGAAAAAGTGCGGAAGTTTTCGGGAAATTTTGGAAGAAGTGGCAGGAAGCTGGGGGAAAATCTGAGAATTGGTAGAGGGGGGGTCGTATTATCTCGTTGTCTCGCGGCCTTCCCTGTTTCACATGTGCTATATACCACCCCCTCCCCGCTCGACGGCTTGATTTGATGAGGGACGGAGGGCCGGAGGTGGGGGCGTACCACCCCCCCCCAAAAAAAAAAGGGGGGGGGGTCGTACGGACTCGACTAAAATCCTCAACCAATGATGTGCCCTGGAACGCCGTTATAAAGAAAAGTCGAACTAAGACAAACCAATTGCTTTCAGGTTCCAATGGATATTCTTGTACGTCTGAGATCAGTCGATTCAACTCCTTTACTGTGACACGACCATTGCCTTTTTTGGCCACTACCGTATCCATTGCAGTGTTATCATCAGAACCTCTTTCGTCGATCCTTGTCATCCCGTATAAAACGGGACTAAATCATATAATATAAGTACTGTCGGAATAATTTCAAAATCACTTTTCACGACTTTTAGAAAAACCTAAAAATGAAGAGGGCATTGAGGTGGGAAGAAGGATCAAGTAATTGTTTCCGTCAAAATGTTGGAAATCAGACTAAGAGCTTGAAAGACTGAACCATGCAATGAGTTGTTGAAGTGATCGACAAGCGAGGCGGAAAAGAGTTCGCTAGGACAACAAGCTTAGTTATATAGCAAATGATGGACAAGAAGCTACCTTACGCATAAATGGACAGATAGTTTTTTTTTATTTTTTTTTTCGCCAGGTATGATCAGCGACTGCAGCTACCTCGTGAGGATTGTTTGTACGAAAGGGTAGTTCACCAGATTAGGGGGCGCCAAAGGTACATCGAGAGGGGGTAGACTTGCCCCCTTTTGCGCGTCAGCACTTGAGTAGTCTTATATATTCAGGGAGGAGAAAACCCTGGATGGATTAACACTTAATAATTGTGGAAAGCTGCACGAAGCGAGGCAATTCACTCTACCGGGAGCTCCTTTCCTTAGAAGTCGCGTGGTGCGAGACGATTCACCCATTTGGGAGCTCCTTTTTCTCTCGAACTACTAGGCTACTTTGGCGAACAATGTAAAAATAACACACTCTGACTCCCTTAACAAGGAGCACAAGTTGCTATTAATGTACTTTATTTATGCGGGGACCTTGTCGAATACTTTGGATCAGCACTAGCATGTTTCGCGCGGAATATGCACAAAATTCATTTGCAATCGACGGTAAATCGTTTACCGCGGTGAACTCACTGTTTTCCGAATGTTTCAAGGATTAGTGGAAATAGATAAGAGGGTCAAAAGAATAAAGAAATCGAGGTTGGTCCTGCCACGAAAATTTTGGGAAGT